CCAGCACAACTCTCCAAGAGCTCACTGTCAGCAACGTTGTCAACCTCTTGGGCTTTCATGGCCGGAAGCTCCCAGCTTCACTGCAGCGAGTCGAGGTCTGTCTTGACATACCTTTTGACGCTATGGCCGACGACGTTACGATCGAGAACCTTGCGACGGCACTCGGACACACGCACCTCAAACACCTCGGCTGCAACATCTTTATGCAATTGGTCCGATGCCCCGCAGCGGCGCCGATGTTTCGTCAACTGCAAGAGCTCCAAGTAGTTGAGTTGCGAGCGGACGACGTCGACGCGTTCATCAACGGTTTATCGTATCTCCCGGTGCTACAGTCCCTTAGCGTCGTACAGAGCGCGATCGGCTCGCGCGACTTTGCGACGCTGGTCATGGAAACCCTCATCACGACATGCCCACGACTGGAGAATCTCCGCTTCGCTTCCGTCCCATTGGACCGGAGTGGGGTTGCTGCGGTGCTTGCGGGCGTGCCGCGCCTTCCGCGCTTGAAATGGCTGAATGTGACGCCCACGCCCTCGATGTTGCCGACAGACATTTTTTACGTGCTCTCGGGGCTCATTGCCGCGGGGCGGCACGTCCGCGACCTGCTCTTCTTCGTGCCCATGCTGCAAGACGACGATGAGCTTGCAGTCTTGCAGGCACTGGCGCTGGTCCGTGAGGTGCCGTTCATTTGTGAGAAACTCCCGCCCAACGCCGACGCCTATGTCGTCGATGCCCTTGGTGCGCACAACAACAAACAGAGCGACCGTTGTCGTTTGCGGATCTCGTGGTAAGCAGCCCAACACGTATTTGACTTCTTTTATTGCAGCACGTTGAATCCTGCACGTGGATGTTTCAAAGTTGCGTGTTTGGAGTCACGCCAGAAAGGCGATCGTGTTTGGATCTTGATGGGGCGCTACGTTGCTGCATGGCTCGCTGCGCTCTCAGCGACGGCAAGAGCCGCGACGACGACAGTCGTGCCGTACCCGAACGAAAGCTCGAGCATCGAAGCCTTGGAGTACACGACGGCGCAGATCGACTTGCAGGCCGACCAAGCCACCGACATTGCGACGCCATCCATCAACCTCGATTACTATGAGTACAACGTCATCGACGACAAGGCGAGTCCTCAATATACGGTCAGTCTTCTCGTCGATCCGTGCAGCTCGTCGGGGCCAGGCTGCTGCCAAGATCAGTTTGGGACTCCCGTATGCATCCTTCCAATACGCGCGGAAGCTAAACTCGCTCTCTAGGCGTACGTGGTGCCAGGTTCCAACATCAACGCCAACGGCGTGGCGTCGCTGCTGGACGAGTACGGCGCTCCGATGGCCGCCCGTGTGAGGTACGCTACTATGTCCAATATGTCAGTCAATTACTCTAGCAATCTAGTCGAATTGGCGATTTTCCATCTATTTTTGATCCCGACTGCCTCGTGGACGCTGCAGGCAAGGTGTACCGCAACACAACCGTGCACGCTGCCGATGGGACCCTCTCATTTACGATCGACTACACTTCGACCTGGTAAATGGAGTCGCCCTTGGTGATGCTGCTAAAATCATGTCGTATTATCGGTAGCGTCGACTTGGATTTTGCGATCGAATCGAGTGCGAGCCAGAGCTTTCCTGCCTGCTGGGACAACAACGGGTCGGTGAATGCTCTCTCGTCGTGCTACACGTTCGATGGCCGCGTCAAGCCCCACTGCGTCTCGGTCGCCTACATGCAAACAGCGTGTATCATGCAGTGCATGGGCGTCTTTGCGCTGGACAACCACTGCGGCACGTTTCTCGAGCTCCACAAACCCGGTATTTCGCAAAGTTTTTGAGTTTCGTTGCATACTTGATCCTAGACGACGAAACGATCTTGGCTCAAACGCGCCTCTTTGCAGAGCTCCCAAGTGGCTACCGCACAACAACTCTGCCGCTTTTCTATCAGGGCAATACGTCGCGCACCGTGTGTCTCGGCGATTATGAGGTTTGTGGTTTATGTTTTTTCCTATTTGGTTGATTGATCATGGGTAGATTTGGTGGGTACTGCGTACGCAGTACAAGTTTGTCGTGCAGTACCGCAAGAAACTGCGTCTTGGAGGTCCCATATGTGAGTTTGATTTGGTCACCAACGCGTACCGAGGCTACACAACGCTAAATGCATAAGAGAAGATTGCTACTAGTATTGTGCAGATTCCACTGTGTTTGTACAAGTTGTCCATCTTGTTCGAGGGATGTTTGCCTGAATACGATATACCCATTCTGTGAAGTTGCAGCGACGTCGACACTATAGATTGACGACCTGAGTCGCATCGGTGTTCCTATCCACGAAGATACCTGATTTTTTATCGAGTTGTTGAACTTGATAAATTGCAACCGTCTTGTAATCTGTCATTCGACGTTTACCCAATCATGGCCAATTGCTTCGTCTCTGTGTCCTCGATAGACCCCATCGCTGTGCTCACCAGCATCCTCCAGTTTCTGGCATCGGCCGACGACGTCCTTCCTCTGCGCGCTTCCACCGTCGCTTCTCGAGCCGTCATTGGCAGCGCTACTGCTACTTCTCAGGTCCGGACACTCCGGCAGAGTGTGCCCACGGCCGTGCCTCTGCGAGATCGCTGACGACGATATCCCTCTCCTGTCGGTGGCCATGCCGGCCTTCAACTCGGTCGAAATTCAGCGTTAGGCACATAGGAGAGGTGGTCCGAGGTTACCGCGCCGTCGGTCGAATATTCATTGCCATTTTGCGCGTGTGTGGCCCGATGGGCGAGCAATGTGGTGCGGCTCAACCTCAAAGATTCGACGTACGGGGACGAGGCATGTCGGACGCTTTCTCAGTGCTCCCACCTCAGAATGGTATTCGTCGATGGGAATCCTCGCATACTCGACGCCGTGACCACGCAGCGGCACCGCGTTTCGTTGCTCACCGTCCACTGTATTTAATGGCTCGAAAGCGATCGTCGCTCCCATGGCCCGATGGCTGGTCTCTGGTCATGCTGTGCATTTGCGGCTCTTCTCCTTTGAACCATGTGACGTCTCCGGCCTCGCGCACGCACTGACCGCATCGCCAACGCCATCGCGCCTCTGCTTGGCAGGCTCACCGGCCATTCTCGCTGGCCTTGTGGTCAACAACCGCCCACTGAATCACGTCACAACGTTCGAGTGCCACGCCTTGTCCCAACTTGCGCGGCCTCGTGATGCTCAAGATCAATGGGACGAGAATCGCGCGTCAGCCTCTTTGTCGCTCTCCAAGAGCTCCAAATTTGAAATTGAATAGGCCCTCTGATTGGTTCATTGAACGAGAGACTTGGCCAATCAAACGGCCCGGACTATTCTGTTG